AACAAAAGGAGAGCAACAGTGGGGGGGCTTTTTTTTCTCCTTTTTTCTCTCATCTCTCTGCTTTTTGCAAGTACATAAATCCAGGGATTTTCAGTGGTTTAGTTATTACATATATTAAAGAACATCAGATTTGCACATCTTTTCAGAGTGAAAGCTCTCCCTTGGTCAAGCTTTTATCCTGAGCCCTGTTTCTTCATTATCTTGGATCAAAGAACTCGCTAAATGCCTTTTTGTTCTGAATTCTTCCCAACTGCCTTTCCACTGGACTCTGATTTTTCCATAACCTCAGCTTCCCTGAAAATCAGTGAAGTGGTGGCACTCTTGAAAATGAAGACTGTAGTACACGTGGGCAGGGAATGTAAATTCCAACTGTTCAATATATCCTGTTTTACAGCCTGGGTGGCATCATAAAAGCACAGTCGGACCAAGGGACAGCGGTATGTCATGTAGAGGGAGTGTCATCCCTTAAGTGTCATCAACTTTATCGATGCTTTTATTTGCTGAGTCTGGAGTGGGGATTTTCTTCAGTGATTTGGCATATTTGATCTCAGGAAATGTAAGAGTTCTTGCTGAGTTAAGACGTGTCAAGAGCAAGCAGAAATGAGAGAACAGGCAAAGCTGTGGTAGCAGTGTGGGTGCTGTTGTGGTGCTCTTCTTAGGCTCAGCAGATGGAGAAGTCTGGGGTATCAGTGAAAACATTAAATATCTGTATCATTTCCTGTGGCAGTATTTGAAGGGAGACAAGCACTTAGCGTTTGGCCCAGTATTTTAAAGGAGAGTATGTATAAAGCTGATTTCTAAATAAAAATATTTCTATACGTTAAATGAAAAAAATGCTCTGAAAGCAGTTTTAACCCAGCCTTGTTCTGCAGTGCTTCTGTGTGATCTAAATGCTGCGTGTTGAGAACCTGCAAAGTTCATAGAATCACAGAATGGTTTGGGTTGGAAGGGACCTTAAAGATCATCGAGTTTCAACCCCCCTGCCCTGGGCAGGGACACCTCCCACCAGCCCAGGTTGCTCCAAGCCCCCTCCAACCTGGTCTTGAACCCCTCCAGGGATGGGGCAGCCACAGCTTCTCTGGGCAACCTGGGCCAGGCTCTCACCACCCTCACAGCAAAGAATTTCTTTCTAGTATCTCATCTCAATCTCCCCTCTTTCAATTTAAAACCATTACCATTATCCTGTCACTCTCCTCCCTGAGCAAGAGTCCCTCCCCATCTCTCCTGTGGCCCCCTTCAGATGCTGGAAGACCTTTATAAGGTCTCCCCAGAGCCTCCAGGCTGAAGAACCCCAGCTCTCTCAGCCTGTCTTCATAAGGAAGGTGCTCCAGCCCTCTGAGCATCTTCATGGCCCTCCACTGGACCCATTCCAACAGGTCCATGTCCTTCCTGTGTTGAGCACTCCAGAGCTGGACACAGTGCTCCAGGTCGTGGATGAAGACCGTATGAAATACCTGGGGGCTTGAGAGCAACAGCTTTTGGGGGTTAGATGGAGCAAAGCACAAGAAAAGGTAACAGCCTGAATGATGGAAGTGATAGTGTGGGTTTTCAGAATTCAGTTTGGTTACTTCTAGTTGATTTGGCTGTACAGTCATCTGGCTGGGTAGCTGGAGCTCTCTAAAGTAAAAAGTGACTTAGGGATTATAGAAAGGAAAGAACAATCTGACAAACTCCATTATAAATTTGGAAGTGTCTGCTGTAAATCAGCTGAAAGTTAGGGTGATTAGAATTTCAGGGCCAAATAGATAATTGTCTATTAGATGGCAGATGGCATACTGGTAAGAACAAAATCTAAAATTATGGATCTATTTCCATAATTTTTGTGGTTCTGGTGCCATTTTTCAGATCTAAAATGGCATGATGTTAATGCTGACGTACTGTGATTTGTCATGACTAGAATGGTATAAAATATTCACTTCTAACCTTGGTGTCTCATCAGAAAGGGGACTTAAATCCTCCCTCGGCACATTTCCATTTTGCACCTCCCGGCTCCATCCCCTTCCATTTCAGCCTTGGCATTTGGAACCTCTGTCAGAGAAAGCTTCTGAAAGCTCCATCTCAGTCCTCCAAACGGGATTTAAATGTGGAGTCTCCGCTTTTAGAAACTTGATGAATCTCTTCAGTGGTTTGGAAGTTGTGCTGCTAAATTTGGGTTGGAAAGGCAGCTGCAGAAGGCCAGAATGGGCAGATAATTTTGGCTTTTAAAACTTTTCCAGTTGCTGCTGGAACCCATCGTTAGAGAGAGAAAAGCTTGATCTTGGAAAATGAAAGAGGGCACCGCGTTATGCGTTTTGCCTCCCAAATATACGGGGTTTAAAAGCAGTGAGCAAAATGTTATTCACGTAAAGGAAAACTGACAAGCCTTTAGCATGAGGAGGCAGCATATCCAATCTCAGCCATCCTCTGTCTGCCCGATTATCAGCTCGGGACAGAACAGAGAAGGAGAATTTAAGACACTGCAGCCAGCACAGCGCGAGATACCATTTTGTAGGGAACCTTTTTGCAACTCCGTGACAAATGCGGCTTAAATGGTTGAATAGGCAAATTAAGAATAAACTTATTTATTCAGATAGCGCTTGGGAGCCCTGTCACTTTGGGGTGGCTGTCAGCAAGGCCTCATGTCATTCCACCTCGTGTGAGAGGATGGAAGGAGAGGAGGGGATTTCCCTTGTAGGATGTAAGCGGCTGGTGAAGGGAAACCCGGGGCAGTTTTCTTGCCTACGATGGGGGTTTCAGTGACCCCTGGATCCCAGGAGCCACCAGCCCCAGTGTGGCAGAGGTGGCCAGGTTTCCCACACGCTTTGAAGAGGAAACTTCGGATGTTGTGGAATGGCGGGGTTAAAAAAGCTGAGGGAAGGAAATAACTTTAAAGTCCATACTCAGCTTAAAATGACTCTGATTCAGAATTACAACGTTAGGAGTTTTGTGCAACAAAACAAGAGTCATTTCCACATCCTCTGCCTGTCCAGGCTCTCCGTGTGCCAGAAGGGTGGGTCCTCCTTCCTCAGCTCTCCTTTAGAAGAGAAATGAAGCGACTGGATTGCCCTGCTGGTTCCATCCTGGTGCACCAGCCCCATCGCTCGCCCTGGGAAAGCCATCTGTGGGGAAACACCCTCTGCCCTGCACTAAGTTTCAGCATCAGGCTCTGAGACAAAACTGCATTTGCTCAGTACTCTCAGAGGGAGTCCAGAGTTCCTCAAATTATGTTAATGAAGAACAAGAATTTCCCATTTAGAGTAAAACTGCTACTGAAAAAAAAACCTCAGACATCTAGCGAAACTAAAACGAACACCCCAAATCATATGATTGAGACATGTTTGAGTGGATTCTTCCCCCCCCCCACCCCAGGCATTATTTAGTTTCCTCGGAGCAGAGCACTCCGGTGACTAATTCATCCCACACTGAGTTTTATAAAACCCAAGTTGACTTGATTTGTTTGTCCAACATTCCTTCTCCTGGTGGTGTTGGAGTCTGAATGTTATCAATCAGTTCAGCAAATGTTTATCTTCGTCCCTATGACCAGCTCTGTGAAACTTTACTTTGGAAGCTCGATGTTTAAAAAGGCGGGGAGAAATCTGGTGATGTGGCTTTTTGTGTACGTGTGCTAATTAAGGAGGACGTTGCCCGAGGTCTGTAATGTTGGGTTTGTGAAACACAGCTGGAGGGAAGGACAGAAGTAAGGACTGAGATGACAGTAGGAATTTCAGACCAAAGCAAGCTGCATATACTGATCCTGAAATAGAGCAGCAAATGCTGTTGCAGACACTAGGCGGGGGCACTCTGTGGAGGAATGATTTGTTTTAAACTGTCCTTTTCTCTCAAAATGTCTTGTTTGAGTGAAGCATTTTAGAAGACTCTTATCTTTGTTGAGCGGCGGTGGAGAATATTGTCAAATTCTTTGAAGCTGCCTTCTTTCCCTTTGTTACCTGACTTTTTTTCCAGGGATTGAATCAAAGAATGTACAGGTCACTGCGATGGAGGGGCTGTAACAGCTCAGAGCCAGGCTGTGTGGATTATAAAAGGGAGCTTTATTTAAGGCACTCCTTAGAAGCCTGACAAGTCCTAGTCTCTCCTCGCTGCACAGAGGATACTTGTAGGTTTAATTTTTCCTACCAGCTGGAGCCAAAGGGGCAGGAGGACAGAAAAAGCAGCACTGATGTGTGTGTGTGTGTGTGTTGGAACTCGCACAAACCCGCTGCCTTGCAGTCCTCGGGGAAAGGTTAATGTCCTCAGCCCGGGCAGGATGGTTCAAAAGTCCCAAACAGAATTGTTTGAGTTGGAAGGGGTTTCTCAGAAATCACCCAGCCCATCTGCAGGACTCTCTTAAGAAAGCACTTTTGAGTTTTGATAGGAAGATAGCAAAATGTTACGCATCTCCCCTTTCTCCTTTATGAAGTTAGTCTGTTCATTAATAGAAGGAAAACTTCTGTGCACTCTTTAACGAAGAACAGTTTCTTCCTTTCCTCGCCACAGTACTCATTGTGTACCTCAGGAACTGCTGCAAGGTGGGCAGAGGGGGGGCTGGTTTTGCAGTTTGATCAAATCTCATTATCATAAAGAAATAGAAAAATTCAGAAGGCAACATCCTGTACTCAGGGATATGTCAGCTTTGGCCTTACTTTTTTAGCCCATTCCAATTACCATTCTGAAGTACTGATACTCCTCGGAAAAGGTCAGAAATTCAGAGATGGTCAGAAATTCAGCATCTTTCTAACGTTCCCACTTGGTTTGCACAGCCCAGGGGAGGAGTGGACTCTCGGTGTGTTGGATATTGTGGTACATCTGAAATGTGCCAGTCCCAAATTCTGCACAAGGAGCCATCAGTTTGAGACTGAGCAAACTGCTGAACGCAGCCCCATTCATTGATGTTTTAGAATTAATGGGCCATCAGTTGCTGGGTTTAGCAGTGGATGGGAAACTCCCATTTGTTTCCAGAGCTGAAGTTCAGAAAACTTTCAGTTCTTCTGTTAAGCACTTTCATTCAACTTTTCTTTTTACAGATGATGAAATTCGCTTGGGATAACTACAAACAATATGCACTTGGAAAAAATGAACTGCGACCGCTGACTAAGAACGGCCACATCGGTAACATGTTTGGTGAGTTCTGAATCAATTTTAGTACAATTTCATTGCTTTTTTTTTTAAGGTCATATGTCCCATGTGCATTCCTTTCTCTGCAATGCAGTGAAGTACCTAGAACAGCTTTGATTTCTTTCCGTTTTTTATGAAGTGAGACTTTCAGTACAGCTCCTAGGGCTTACCTACCCATAGCCCATTGCTGGGAATCTTGTTCCTACAGGCATCTCTCAGTGCCCAGCCTGTCTCACCGCTGCGTGCAGCTTTAGCACCAAACATGTCTGAGAAGAGCACTAAAACCAACCACTGTCTTTATTAAAACATGAAATCAGTCCAAACCTGACAATGCTGCTATTTGTCTAAGCTTGTCGACGTCAGGACCTGACCAAACTGAGCGTTTTCTCTCTCGTTTCTCCGCTGTTGAGCAAGATGTGAATTCCATGAAATATTGAGGGAGTTAATCAATATTAAAGGCTCTTTATAGTATGTGCTTACTGGCTTGTATAATTTTACTCTTTAGCAGATTACCTTTTTTTTTATGTGAGCCACTTACATCATTCCAGTGCTATTCCCCTGCTCGTTCTGCTAGGATACTTGTTGACTTTCTGGGATATAAATTGTCTTTTGCCTCATTTGTCCTCAAAGCGTTTCCCTGCTCCGCTCGCTCTGCCCTGGCTTGGCCCTGCCTGCCCAGTTTGTGCCATGGGGAGGAGACCAGCAGAATCTGCTTTAGCAGCCCTTTCCCACCCCTCTGTGGGGAAGACTTGCTGTGCAGAGGTCTCTTGGCTTCTTTCCACAGGACTTGGCTTTGCAGAGATTATCTCTCATAGTCCCTCGCCCAGATTAGAGTGGAATAGAGTTCTTGAGTGGGCAAATTATCTGTGAGCTTTATTTCCTCAGGGCAAAGGGATTGGATTAATACAGTAGGAAGGAACATTCCTGTTCCTGTTTTTGCACTCTCTGGGTGTCCCAATCCTTCCCTACATCAAGTACACGACATGGGTTTGATCCTTCAGATGTAGATGTGCGTTGTGTGGAGACTGAGTGCAGCCTCCTACACAGGCCTCATTAGCTTTGGGGGACCTGTGAGATGTGTGTGAAAGTGGTTTGAAGGTGGAAATAGCAGCACGTGTCTTGTAGGATGGCCTTTTGGCAGCCCCGTTTGGCCTCTGGGCTGCAAGAGCAGGTGGCCCTGGTGCAGATGGCAGAGGAAGGGCTGGCTTTCAGGTTAGCCACAGCACGGGGAGAAACCTCCGTGTTCCTCTTGTGGTGCCACCATCAAGTCTCTCTAGTTCCTGCAGAAGTACCAGGAGAATTAACTCACATCAGGTTGTGCAATACTGTAAGTTGCCTGGCAGCTGCGTTCACGATTGCTGGGGTATCTGGAGGAAGCAGTTTTGGAAGTGTGCCTTGTGCTAGCACAGGCTGTGTGTGACCAGCCACTGCTCTTGCCCCATCTCACTTTGTCAGGAGCAGTGATTTGGGTTTATTCACCCTTTGCCTTCCTCTTTCAATGCCCCAGGAATACCCAGGTTTCTTACTTTGTATTAACTTCAGCACCGAGTTAAGCATTTTGCAACTTTTCCATTCTGGCAAGCTTGTCAAAATTCCTTGAGGAGCGTGCCTGTAAACAGACAAAAATATTGAAAGCTTTTAAATGCATTTATCATGCTAAAACAATTGGCAGTACTTAACGCTTGTTTGTAGCGTGCCTAGGAGCACTCTCAAGGAAAATGCTTTGGAGCACAAGGATTTGCAGACAATTGCAGAAAAGAAGCTACATACTACGTTTTAGCCTCTTAATAGGCTTTTCCTCCTTTCAACTGTGGCTGGTAAAGATCGGAAGCATTAAGCAATCCGTCGCTGCAGCCCTCTATCTCCCTTGTCTTCAGAGGCTTTAGAAATTAGGACAGGGCACTGTTCGCCGCCTTCGTTGTTGCCCATTCCCCCTCCTGTCACATCGTGCATCTTTTTCTTCCAAACTACAGATGTAATGGAGGCAAATTGGGTACTCTCCAGGCTGGAGGTGTCGATATTAAGCTGAGATTTCTCTGCAGCTGCTTCCATGTGGGAGGGAAGGAACCTCTTCCTGGGCTATTTTGAAGTATGTTTGGGTGCATGAGACGCAGTCGAGTTCTTGAAGGGTGATACATTTTCCTGTTGTGGATGTGCTGCTCACTTGGAGCCTGCCTTCAGTTTAGCAGCCTCACCCTGGGGGAAGCTGCTCTTTATCAAATATTCTTTCTAATCAAAGGAGAAATACAAAATAAACATTCGCCTCCTACTCCGACACAGCATTCTGGTTATCTTAACAGCCATGAGCTCGCATCCCTCCCCAGTGTCTGTCCCGATGGCAGGAAAATTACAGGCAGAAAACCTCTTGTATCTCCACCCCAATTCATCCCCTTTCTACGGGGAGACCTTACAGCCCCTTCCAGTACCTAAAGGGGGGCTATAGGAGAGATGGGGAGGGATTCTTTATGAGGGAGTGGAGCAATAGGACGAGGAGTAACACTTTTGAACTGAAAGAGGGGAGATTTAGATTAGATATTAGCAAGAAATTCCTTACACTGAGGGTGATCAGATGTCCCCACTACCCAGGTCAGTGCTCGGCTGCCGCGTTCGCTGGAAGGCAGCGTTCCCACTCAGACTTTGATCTGATCATTTCATCTGACATTCTGACTTGAGATTGATGCTCTCCAGATCCTATTCCTAGGACATCAATTTCATCAAGATTCTCCCGTGTTCTGGATGTAGTTTATTTGTACAGAAATCTTCTGATTACTGTCATTTATGATCATTGCAACTTGAAAGCCCTTTCCTTAAACCCACTAGCTGTGGTTCTTTCATCAGCATTATTTATTCAGCTGTGATGCCTGTGATAAGATGTGCCATACTAAATGTCCCATCCCATGCCCTCCAGTGGGGTAAACAGGTTTTAGACCTGCAGCCATTTCAGATGTGTTGATTTCCCTAGAAATTACACCGTGGCAATGGGCAAAGCCTACAGCTAGGGTGGAAGGACGATCTCTGTTAGAATAAAAACTGCACCACAAGGTTCCAGTGTGAATGATTGCACAACTGCAGGGTTTTCAGAATTATCTGCAAAATTTCTCCGCGCACTTCAGCTAAATCAAGAAGACCCGCAGAGCGTGTGGCCAGTGGTAGAATCAGGCCCAAAACATGCTTGTTTAGGAGAACTATTTAAGAAAAATGGCACAGCTGGGCTTGTGGCTAAGGGGGAAGGCGAGAGATCTGCAGGTACCTGCTCCGTTCCCAGTGCTGATCTAGTTATTTTAACCCTTTTTACCCCAGCATCTCAGCATTCCTGTCTCCAGTGTTGTGAGCATTAAATTAATTGATGTTTGCCAAGCATGTTGAATTCCTTGGAGTGAGGCTGCCGGAGAGGGTAACCGTATTATGTAGCGCCGCACTTGAAATGCACCTGTCACTGTGATATCCAGCCTTAGATAGCTGAATTATTATTCTGCCCGCTCCCTGGGTCTGTCATAGCCACTTATTTTTCTGACAAAATGTTTTTAAAATCCTGTTAGCTTTACAGAGTTTCTGTAGCTATGGGAGAGTGAGCTGGCATCTATTTCTGCTCATGCATCAGCTGAATTGTCAGTTACATTTTGATTGCACAGTCTTTTAACAATGATAAGGTAAGAAGCCTGATTTTCAGATATCTCTTGAAGTGTGTAGTGCTGGCAGCAGAAGAATCCTTCTTTGACTTATAACCTGAGCCAATTTGCTCCGAAATCAGTTACAGTAAGTAAATATGGAACCTTGCTGTGCTGTTAGACAGTCATTTTTCACCACCTAACTGCACATTAGTATATTAATTTGGGTATAAAAATAGCAATCCTTAACTAGGTTTCCCCCCTTTGTTCCCTCTCTCCCCACTTGAAATCACACCTAAAATTATGAATTGCCTTGTCACAGCCATTGCTTCTCTCAGCACATGCCCAATTTGTGCGTCGTCGTGAGGCTCCGTAGCTTTATCTGAAGTACATCCGTGTGACAACTGTCACATCTAGGCCACAGCCGGGTCACCAGAACTGGGTGGCAAAGATCTGACAGCAGCTGGATCTGGAGGATGTGAGGTGTTTGGAGTTTGTCCTCGTGTAGGTCCCTCCACGTTGGATTGCTTGGTGACAGAGTGACAGAGTACACACCGCGCAGGGTTTTTCTTGGAAAACGGGTGGCTGCTCGGGCTGTGTTTGTGTGCTCAGCTCAGACTTTGGCCTAAACTGTCCTGACAGTTTGTTTTGAAGACAGAAGGTCATTGGTCTTCGTTGCCTGGAAATAGTGCTATTTTGGCTCTCCAGGATAAAAAGAGATTGAAGTGGCTGGGGAAGAAAAGTAGTGGCGGCATGAATATATACAAAGAGGCCTTTAGAACGTACCAAGTTGATTGTCCTGAGATTCAGAAACCTTTGGGTGTTTTTTTTTTTCTCCCTGGCAAATGCAGTGTAATCCTACAGGACTTTCTCACTGCACTGTGACACTGTGACCTGCCCGGTCTCTCATCTGGATGGAGATTCAGGTGACATCTCTCCACTGGACTTACATCATCAACCTCCTTTCACAGGAACTTTAGGCAGCAGCCAAAGTGCTCTTTGACCCCCCACCTTGGGTGCTGGGCCCAAATGGCTCCATGTCCCAGAGTAAATCCCTTCAACCACCCAGTCTTGTCTCTTGAGCCAAACATTTTCCAAATAGCTGCTTCTTTCATCAGCAATTTATCTAGAAAACTATGACGCAGGCAGGAAACGTGCCCACCTCAATTAGAAGCAAGAGGAGTTGATGTATGAATATTTAACATGGGAAAGGTAATTGGATGAAAATATTAATTTAGCAACATTCTAACTACCAGAAGAGAAACAGTAACCTCCAATTGTGCAGTCATTTGGTGCAGCTTTTCTGTTCTGCCTGTGAGTCTCTTTCCCTGTGATCACAAAATTGCAAAACCCTGGAGTGTCCTTTTATGTGATTAAAATAATAATAATAATAATAAT